TGCTACTCTCGTGGTGCCCGCTTCCGATGCAGCGACGGTGGAGGCGGTGACGGCGGCGGCGGCGGCCCCCGGAAAGGAGCCGGCCCTGATCTCGGACAAGCAAGGCGTAACGAGGTATATCAACTGCACCGTAAAACCGAGTTTACTAAACTCCCACCCGCATAAGACTGCGACAAGCTATGAAATCGAACGAAGGGGAAAATATATGGTGTGTGCGTGTGTGTATATATATATATGTATGTGAATATGTATGAGAGACAGAGAGAAAGAGAAAAAGAGAGAAGGATATGAAAGAGCTTTCAATAACATTCGTTTCGTAGTCGTCGTCGTTGTCGTCGTCCATCATTCAAGTAGTATCTCGTCACGAGAAATTCTCGACGTTCCTAATTTATTAATTTAGAACTCTCGAGAAACGAGAGTTCCGTCAGACACGAAGAGACTGAGAAGAAATCAAGATAGAGAGAGAGAGAGAGAGAGAGAGAGAGAGAGAGAGAGAGAGAGAGAGAGAGAGAGAGAGAGAGAGAGAGAAAGAGAGAGACATGTCATCGTCTTTCCTTCATTCGGCTAAGCTTTTTTACCTTTTTCATCCTCCCCTCTCTTCTCCTACCCGCCGTATAATCTCGTTTCTTTTTTCTTTTCTTTTCTCTTTTTTTTTTTTTTGATCGTTCTATCGATTAAAATCCTAGACATCGTGGTATGAAGAGGTGGGCGGGAGGAGCAGGGAGGATAGAACGAGCGAGGTAGAGAGGATAGGAGAAGGGTGTTAGGGTGATAGGAGGTTGAGGTCAGAGCTTTAGTGTTTCTTCTTCGACACACCCATTTTCGAACGTGTGATTGTTTCCTATCTCGCTCGGTTTTATCACTTTTTCACGGCTACGACTCGATCGTCGTTTTGAAAATGTATATGACATAGTTGTGTTCGTGTGTATCTGTGTATGTGCGTAATAAAAAAGAAGGATGCAATTTAGCTTACCATTAAATCTGCGCTTACTTTTTTTGGAAAAACCCAGTATAATATTTATACATATATATATATAATACGTATGTATGTACAATAAGATGAGATCGATCATCTATGAAAATCGTATATTGACTATTGACGATGAGAATCGAGAATAACAGAGAGAGAAAGAGAGAGAGAGAGAGAGAGAAGTACAACGAGTTGGTGACGTCAACGATCGCTCTTTTTTGAATTTGCAATGACGCACCGCAAAGCTTCGACCAGTTTTCTGTGATGCTCGTTGCAACTATATATGTATGTATGTATTGTAGTTACCTGTTATAATGCAGGCTATGCGAAAAAAAAAGGGAAAAAAGAAGAGAGAGAGAGAGAGAGAGAGAGAGAGAAAGAGAGAGAGAGAGAGAAAAAAGGATCGTCGAACGCGGAATGCAAGAAAGTCGTCGAGAATACACATATGCATACATACGTGCATGCATGCATGCATGCATGCATATATATATATATATATACATACATAAACGCGTTTGAAATCTCGCATGGTCAAGATATTTCTTTTCCTTTTTTTTTTCCTTCTTCCTTCCTTCACACTAATTTCTCGAGTGTCCACTCTTTGTCGTCCAACTTCTTTTTCTTCCTCTTTTTCTTCTCTCGTCGTACATAAACGAGGATGACGATTGGACTTTGTAATTAACGTGACTTCAAGTTTCGCGCCTCGTCTATACGACGCGGGAAATTTGAAAATTTTTATGCACATACGTACGTAAGAATGACACTTAAATCTTAAATCTATATTTATGTTAATACGATGATACCTGATATTGCATTTGTTACTTCGAGGTACACATGTACTTTTCATAAGACTATCACACAACACATAAGTGAATAATAAGTACATATATGCATACGTTGACTTCCGAGAAAAAGAAAAGAAAAAAGAAAAAAGAAAAAAATTTCCGCATAAAAATAAGGATCGAATTAACTAGACGCCCTCCGGCTCCCTGCTAATCGCGTGTCGCGAAATACTTGGAAAAGTCCACACCAACCCCCACCCAGTCCACTAAACCCCGTCCCCACCACCCTCTTCTCCATCTACGTGAACCCAACACCCTCTACCACCACCACCGCCGCCGCCGCCGCCGCTGCCGCCTCCGTTTCCACCCCCTCTTCCTACTACTCCTCCGCGCTCCCTTCTTCCTTCATTAATCGCGATTCACGACGATGAGTCATTTCGAAATAATTCCTACTCGAAAATTCCATGATAGAGTAAGAGAAAAAACAGAAAGAAAGAGAGAGAGAGAGAGAGAGAGAGAGAGAGAGAGATGGAAGGTAGGAGATAGAAAAAAAAAGGAGAGAGAGAGAGATAGAGAGAGAAATACAATCAGAAGGTCTTGATAATATTCTTGGACGTCTTGGAATCATCTCGGCGAATAAAATCGCTTGCCGCAGTAAAAGAAAAAGAAAAAGAAAAAGAAAAAAAAAAGAAAAAAGAAAAAAGAAAGAAAAAAGAGGAAGAAAAAAATGAAGAAAAAAGAAGACCGAAAGGAGTGGGGGAGAAGAGAAGGAACTTCGTGATGCGAGCAGCAATAAAGTGAGGTTAGAGCTACAATGAAGAATGCAATTTTGATTAATACAGAGCGATAGAGAGAGAGAGAGAGAGAGAGAGAGAGAGAGAGAGAGAGAGAGAAGAGAGGGATAAAAAAAAGTGCATGTATCCCATAAGAAATATAACGAGCGTAAAACATGCGACATTAAAAACCACGAAAAGTGGTTGCTTATTTAGAAAGTGTCTCTAACGAAGGGGGGATTCTCTCTCGTTGGAGAGATCTTCAAAGTCGCATTATTCCAACGCGTCTACAACTTTATCGCTCTCTCTCTCTCTCTCTCTCTCTCTCGCTCGCTCGTTCGCTCACTTTATCTCCCCACCTCGTTCAAGTAGAGGGGGTCAGAGGAAAAAAGAAAGAGAAGTACGGCAGAGAGTTCATGCAGACGACGCGACCGCGTGGAGTCGAAGAGTATGCGTCGTTTCTCTCTCTCTCTCTCTCTCTCTATCTCACCTCTCTCCCTCTATCTTTTTTCCTGACTGGCAAAGCTCTATTGTTTCCCTTTACGCGCTTCTCCCCGCTCACGTTCTTCTCTCCATCACTCTCTCTCTCTCTCTCTCTCTCTTTCTCTCTTTCTCTCTTTCTCTTTCGTACCATATCGTGCAAGACGACGAAAAGTAACGAGAGTGGCCGAACTAGCGGTATCGCGCATACAAACGAATTACACACGAATTACACACAAAATTTACACCCGTTTCTATATCAGAAAAAAAGAAAGAAGAGAGAGACGGAGTAATCAAGTGAAAGAGAAAAAAAAAAAAAAAAAAAAAGAGAAAGATCTGAAGGATTTAGTAAAAGAGAAAAAGAAACAACAAAGTAATCATATAGAAGAAAGAAAAGCAGAGATAAAAAGAGAGAAAGTGATCGAGTAAATGAGAGAGAGAGAGGGGGAAGGAGGAGAGTCAATGAAAACGCGAGGTCGTTTGACAGGCTATGGTCCGCATCGTCGTTTTTCATCATTCCGTTGTCATCGTTGTACGTTGTGTCGTCGTCACACAACAGCCGTCGTCGTGTTGTGTTGGTTGTGTGTTGTCAATGCATCATCATCGTCGTCGTCGTTGTCGTCAATGTGTAGTCGAAATTCGCGATCGGTAATTTCATGTCGACGCTCTTGCCGCTATAGCCGCGACGGGAACGGGTACCGAAAGTGGGAGGAAAACGAAAGGGGAAATGAGAAAGAGAGAGAGATAGAACACAAAGTGTGGTATGGTGGGGGTAACGCGAGTCGGTATGAAAAAGAAAGAGAGAGAAAAAGAAAGAAAATGAGAGAATGAAGAGAGAGAAAGAGACGCCGGTCTAACATGGCAGACGTTGGCCGTGCAGGCGGAAAAACATGCTCTCACGAGGAAAGAGTTTCGCGCGCGCGTATTCTTGCTTACTCGCGTTAGAAAAATTCGTTATACACGCACGCACACACACACACACACACGTACATATATATTATATATATATATATATGTACGTAGGATATATAAGTGAGAAATAAAATAATGACAAGCGAAGAAGAAAAGGAAAAATTGCGTTATATGTACTCACGCTCGTGCTTCATCCAACTCGTATTATCATCCCCTTGTGCGCGTGAGCACGCGCGCGTCTACAGTCAAGTAATGTAGTGGTGGTGGTGGTGGTGGTGTAGTAGTAGAGTAGTAGTAGTAGTAGTAGTAGTAGTGGTGGTAGTGGTGGTCGTGATGTAGTAGTAGTAGTAACGATGATGATGGTGGTGGTGCGGTGTAGTGGTTGGTAGCAGTGGTGGAGCCAGCAACAGCAGCAGCAAGTAGTAGCAGTAGTAATAGAATAGTAGTAGTAGTAGTAGTAGAACGGACGAAGAATGAAGTAAAAGAGCGAAGAGGATGGATTAGCAGGAAGAGAACGGCGGCAAGAAGTAAAAAGTATGAATGTGTGAGTGACAGAGAGAGGGAGGTAGAGGAGGGAGGAAAAGGGAAAGAAAGAAAGAGAGAGATAATATAGAGGGTGAACGGGGAAGTAGGAAGGATGAAGGGACTGAGGGAGGGGGCGGGGCGGTAACGTTGCAAAGAGAGGGGAAGGTAGGTGGTATGCGAGAAAGCTTCGCACACGCGGCCCTCACGCACTCGGTTCACGCACTCTGTTCGCGCACTATGTTCGCGCACCGCGAGAGTGACTGCTCGTTCTCTCTTTCTCTTTATCCATTTATCTATCCTGCCTGTCTAACTGTCCATCTATCTCTATCTATCTATCTATCTTTCTCTCTCTCTTTCGTTTTTTCTTTCTATTTTTCTTTTTCTTTCTTTTCTTCTTTCTTTCTTTCTTTCTTTCTTTCTTTCTCACGCGTTACTCGAGAGTTCAAGCGGAAACAAACGCACTGACGTTGGGTTTTCTATCTTTTTCTTTTCTTCTTTCTATGTATGTATATATATATATATTTATTTGTATGTATGTATCTCTCTCTCTCTTTTTGTCTCTAATGTCCGTCTGTCTACTATCTCTTTCTCATTCACGTTTTCGCTCTCGCTCTCTTTCAGACGCACATGCTATCTCTCCCTCTCTTTTCGAAGGGAATAGTAGGAGGAGAAGGAGAACCGTCAAAAGGGCGCGCTTTTACGAAATGGTTACGAATCGGCTTGTAACTTTTTTCCTCTCTTTTTTTCTTTTTCTTGTTTCATTGCTTTTATCTTTTTATTCTTTTTATTCTTTCTTTTTCTCTCTTTCTCTCTGTTTATTTTCTTTTTTGACGAAAACGACGGTCAATGACGACAACGACACAACTAAATAACACGTATTTTCGGTAACCGAACAGTCGTGTGTTTACTTGCGTGCATGCGTGCGTGCGTGCGTGCGTGCGCAAACACGCGATCCTATATATACCTGGTGATATTTTTTTCTTTTATATTTATATATTGCTTTTATTTCTTTTCCCTTAAAAAAAGAAAAAGGAGCACATGTCTCTTGTACTCTAAGTTACATATGTACTCTCTTACACGAGATTACTACGCACGAGACAGTTTTATATATATATATATATGTCACACGCGCGCACACACACACACGCGCGCGCGCAAAGAGAAAGAGTGGAGTGAGAGAGAGAGAGTGAGTGAATGAGTGAGTTTCACGCGCACGCGAGACGTGTGTTTCATTTGACGTGCAGAGAGACGAGAAGAGAGAATGAGAGAACGCCGCGTCGCGAAACGACAACACTTCGGGACGAATATAATGAAGAAGCACAACGCCGGCGTTGACGGACGGGATGATGACGATTACGACTACAACAACGATGACGATGACAACGACAATGACTACGACGACAACGGCGACGACAACGACAACAACGGATGTGTGTGACGTACAAAATGGCGTTTGTCGAACCGCCCGCGCCCGATCAGCTGGAAAATGCCGGAATGCCGCCGCTAGGAAAGATCGACTGACTGCCGAGGTTCGCGGCCCTAAGTGGTTTGACGTTAAGAACGAACGAGCGAGCGAGGGAGCGAGAGTGTGAGATAGAAAGAGATATATATATATATATATATATACACATATATAATAGAGAGAAAGAGAGAGAGAGAGAGAGAAAGAGAGAAAGAGGTTGGGAGAAGACAGAGATAAAGAGAGAGACGGAGAAAGAGGAGGAAGCGACTGAGAAAGAAAGAGTGAAAGAGAGATAGAGATAGAGATAGATAGATGGATAAAAAGAGAAAGAGACAAAGAAGCATGGAAGAAGGGGGTGCAGGTCCGTTGGTGGGGGATCGAGGGGCGGCGAGAGTAAAAGGAGGGGAAGCACCCCACTTTTCCTAACGTTCGTCGGACGGCTTCGACTACCTTCGATTGCTTTCGACCGTAAGCACAGCAGGGCCGTGTCGCGCGTTGCAAGTATCTCTTTCTCTCTCTCTCTCTCTCTCTCTCTCTCTCTCTCTCTCTCTCTCTCTCTCTCTCTCTCTCTCTCTTTCTCTATATCGTATATGTATAGGAATTTTCCTGACATTAAAAACAACTCTCTGGCTACTCGCTTAATAATTATAACAACTTTTTACAACCCGCTTAAAATTATTGATATTAGTCGACTTTTTCGAATAACCATGTCGAATAACGGTAGTAGTTTAAAAATAAAAAAAAGAGGAAGAAAAAAACAAGACAATTTCGCCTTAGGAGGGAACAGGGAAAGAAAGAGAAAGAGAACGAGAGAAAGAAAGAGAAGACTGAAACTTTTCGGTTTCGTACTTTTCCGTGCTTTTCCGTACTTTTTCGTAATTTTCCGTATATCTCCGTGTAACTTCGTCCATATAGCGCGAAACATCATGCAAGACCGACGACGCGCCTCTCTCGTTTGTTTCTTTCTTTCTTTCTTTCTCTCTCTCTCTCTCTCTCTCTCTCTCTCTCTCTCTCTCTCTCATTCCTTTCGGCTTATATATCCTATGTATGTACATTATATATATATATATATGTGTGTGTGTGTGTGTGTGTGTGTGTATTCTTGCTTTGGCCGTTCCTCTCGCCGAGGAATTTATAAAAATCAATATAATACTCGCCGGCCGAAGAAGGGGACGGCAAAAAATTCGGGGTCCCGTTCTTCTTCCTTTCTTTATTTCTTTCTTTCTTTCTTTCTTTCTTTCTTTCTTTCTTTCTTTCTTTCCTTCGTTCGTTCGTTCGTTCGTTCGTTCGTTCCTTCCTTCTCTCTCTTTCTCTCCCTCGCTCGATTTCTTTTTTCCTTCTTTTCTTTTCCCTTTTTTTTTTCTTCTCTTTTCTTTTCTTTCTTTCTTCTTCTCTTTTTCTTTTTTTTTCTTTTTCCATTCCTTTTGTACTTTTTACCGCGAAGCCCGCGTGCGCGTGTCTGCCTTACGTCTCTTTCTCTCTTTCTCTTTTCCCCTTCTTTCATCATATACACACCATATATATATATATATATATTTATGTATATACGTATGTATGTACATATATATATGTATATATATGTATATATATATATATATATATATATATATATAATATCTCCCTTCCTCTTCGAGCTGCCCTCGAGAAGGAAGCCGTTATCGCGAGCGAGCGCATCTGTCCGCAGAAATGAGAGAGCGCGGGAGAGTTTATTTTCTTCGATTTTTCTTTTTCTTTTTTCCTTTGTACTTTTTATTTTTTCCGTCTCTTTTGCTCATCCTCTTACTCCCCAGAAATAATAATAATAATAATAATAATAATAATAATAAAAAAATAAAAATAAAATTTCTTTCTTTAATTTTTTCCTTCTTTCGATCGCTATCTCACTTTTCGTCAAATAATAATATAAATAAAAACAAAACTTGTTTTCCTTTTCATTTCAATTAAATAAATAAATATAATAAATTTATTTTTCTTTCTAAAGAAGAAGAAGGAGAAAAAAAAATAAGAATCTTCTCGTTTCCTCCTTACGATCTTTTTGAATTACACTTTTTGCCTGAATTCACGTATATATATATATATATAGTTATCGTTTCTTCGAACGATATTCCACGAGAATGAATGTGAGAAACAATGAAAATGGGTGGGGAGAGGGGGTTGGAGTGGTGGGTTAGGGTGAGGGCAAGATTGGGACGGGTACGGGGGTGTGAGGGTAGAGAGATCGGTCGAAGGTATCGTTTCTTGGCATATCCGATCGCTTGCGCTCGGTGGATGCTTTAGAGAAGGTCGAGGACCTGTTAGAGAACGAAGACGGTCGATCGTGCACGAGAAATTCAAGATGAGAAAGGGAATCTCTCTGTCTCTTTCTCTCTGCCTCTCTCTCTCTCTCTCTCTCTTACACACACTATCTATCTGTCTATCTATCTCTCTGTCTATTGTATATACACCACTTCCATTATTACGAGGTTTATAATCTACTCGTAGATATGACGATAAATTGACTTTTCTCTTGGTTACAAAGACACTTCGTTATTCTTTTCTCTCCTTTGCAAAAAAAAAAAAAAAAAAAAAAAAGAAAGAAAAAAGAAAGAAAAAACGAATTGATTCCATGATAGAAAAGGGAAAAGGAAAGGGTGCGGGGGAGGGGAGGGAGGAAGGAGAAGAAGAAAAAACGAGAGAAAGAAAGAGAGACGAACGAAACGGGAAACTCGACGAGTGGAGAGGAAAGAGAGAGAGAGAGAGAGAGATGAAAAACTGGCGTGGGTTCCGATACTAGAGAGAGGTTCGTAATCAAACGAGATCGAGGGGAGATCATTAATTTCATCCGCCGATGTCCTCGAATCGTTTACTTTGCAAAGTGTCGAACGAAACGATTGATTGTCTTTCGAAACTTTCCACAGAGAAGTATTAGAAGTAGAGGAAGGATAAAAAGAAGTAATACGGAATTTCGTAGAGAGGTTAAAAACGTTTCATGCCGGAACTCTTTCGCGTAGTTCGCGCTCCCCCTGTACTGTCTCTCTGCCCCCTCTCTCTTTCTCTCTCTCTTTCTTTCTCTCCTCCTCCCCTCACCTTCCCCCGCTCCCCACCCCTCCGTTCCCATCACTTAAGATTATCGAGAAAGAACATTTCTTGTGAAGAAGAAGAGGAAGAGAAAAAGAGAGAAAGAACTACAAAAGAAGGGAAATGAAAGAAGAAATAAAAAAGACGAAAACTGTTTCGGTAAAGGATATTATCGCTCGTTGTGTGTGTTCCATCTTGTTTCATCTTTTTTTTCTCTCTTTGTATATATATATATATATACATATATATATATATATATATATGTGTATATGTAACGAGACTTCAAATCGTCATACGACTTTTCGTTTTTTTTTGTTTCCTTTTTCTTTTCTTTCGTTCTGTATCCCTTGTTTAATCAATCGCAAAACATTGAAATATGCATCTTATTTAGTACGAATATAATAAAAAATTTGTAAAGGAGAAAAAACACGACTTGTCCCGTCTGGTCTCCTGAGAGAACTGATCCGACAATCGAGAATTAAATATGGCTGCTTTATTATTTTCGTTATTCCTCTACTTATCGCATGTATGTATATATGCATGTATGTATGTATGCATGTATGCATGCATGTATGTATGTATGTATATAAATATGCATGTATGTATGTATGTATTATTATAATTGTCATTTACTACAAATACTCGCTCTTAAAAATTCTACGGAGTAGTTTAGTGTTGTCTCTCTAAAAAGGTTAGACAATAAAAAGAGAAAAAAAAAGAAAGAAGAAAAAAGAAGAGAGAAAAAACGTAATGCAGGATAGAGAAGCTATATGATGAAATATTTGTATATGTGTTACCTTTTCTTTATTTTTTTTTTTTTGCGAAGGGCACACGATGAAATAGGCTGGTCCAATGTCTTTTTATCACAGCCCAGGGGCGAACGAATAAAAGGTTACGACAATGTAGGGACGGTAATAAAGAGGCTAAAAACTACTGCTACAAAATGACACGTGACATCGATTCGGAAATTGAAATCGCCATTTCCCTTTTTTCGAGAAACGAAAGATCGACTTTGTTTTCAAAATGCTTATCGTCCGTTTTTTCTTTTCTTTCTTTTCTGTTTTTTCTTTTTTTCTTTTTTCCTTTTTCTTTTTTTTTTTTTTTTTTTTTTTTTTTTTTGAAACGATCATAGCGATCCTTGAAAAGTTTGCAAAGGTATGCATTACGAACCAATAAACGAAATCTATCGTCATTTTGAAATTCTACGAATCATTTTGAAAAAGAACATAAAATATTTTTAAACGCAAGACCGACGACCGTATTTCGTGCGATTTTATTTTTCGAATCGTCGCGAATGGACACTCACTTGTGGATTTGTTACTTTTAAGAAAAAGAAAATATATATATATATATATGTATACATATAAGAGAGATAAAAAAAGAAGAACAAAAAAGAAAAAGAACAAAAAGGAAGAATCAAACGTTTACCTTTCAGTATTAAAACTCACCGTAATTCTGTGCCTTTTCTGGGATCGGTCGTTGTGCTTCCTCAACCGGAAGCATAGGAAAGCGGTACCCTGGAGAACATTCGTCCAATCCCTTGCCTCCTCCATCGCGAAGAAAGGCTTGGGATTGGTTGCCGCTGCTCTTTCGTTCTTCCAACGAATCCTCTCTCGAAATGTATCCGTCAACGAGAGAAAGAGAGTATCTTAATAAGTAATTAACGAACAATTAATATTTCTATTTCATTTATATTATTTAATATATATATATTTAATATAATATATATATATATATTAAAGAACAAAAACCCCCTCCCCCTCGCGCCTACATTAATATTACTTATATTTTCTTTTATCCACCAATCACCGTTCGACATAATCGCTAGCCTATAAAACCTTACGATCGATATTTAATATACGCATTTAAAAAAAATGGATGCCAAGATGGCGGAATACGTCACAGAACAATAACGATACTCTACGTACATATGTATATTATAAATACGTAGATTCGAAGACTCGCCTCTCCTAATTGACAATTAAATCGTTAATGGTTTCTTTGTTTTTTTTTTTTTTTTTTTTGTTACAAAAGAATAAGAAAAAAGTTAAATAAAAAAGAAAAGAAATGACGAGATATAACGATGCTATTGTTACTACGAGCCTAAGGGATAATAGAAAAAGTGAATTTATCTGTTCGTTCATGAACGTTAGGCAAATTTGACGTATGAGATAAGACAAAGGTAATCGACCTTAAAAGATAAACGACGTGATAAAGGGATCGAAAGAAATGCGAGAATGAAATTTGCGGAAATCAATGTAACGATCGACGCCAATGCTGATATTCTCTTTCTCTCTCCCTCTTTCTCTTTTCTCCTCTGTCTTACTTTCACATTTCTTGTCTCACTCTTTTCATTCTTCTTCGTTTCTCGTATTTATTCGCGGACAATGAATGTATATTCCCGTTTATCGTATTCACACAGAGATAGAGGAAATAGTTTACGCTTACGTATATAACCTCTCTCCTCGCTTTTCTTATGATCATCATTATTAAAACGCGTATACTTAACCTATACGACGAATAAATTAAATGTATAAATAAGTTAATAACAAAACAAAAAAGAAAAAAAAAAGAAAGAAAAATAAGCGAAAATTTTCGTTTTAACAAATGATAGAAATATCAATCGAATATACACATGTATATATATATATGTATGTACATATACGTAAGTATTTGTGTATACATATGTAAGTACCTGCATTCTTGACATCTTTCATAGAGTTTACCGTTCCATGTTCATCTGTAATAATAACACAGACAGAACGAAGCATAACGCGATTATATATACACATATATACTTATATGTACATATATATATATATATATATATACACACGTAGCAACACGAGGAAAGAGGCAAATCGAAATATCAAATATTCACGAAGGCGAATTGCGAAGGAAATATGGTAGCAAGACGACGACGACGACGACGACGAATGGTTGTCGTTCGACGATTTTTCGTTTGCAACAAGCTAAAAAACAAAAAAAAAGAAAGAGAGAAAGAAAGATAGATAGAGAAAGAGAGGAAAGAGAAGAAAAATACGAAGACGAAGAAGAAGAAGAGGTAAAAGAAGGAAACAAGAAAAACGGAAAATCAACGTTGGAGACAAAGTAGTAGACTTTCATCCTTTAATTTCCCTCTTTCCTCTCCCCTTAACCCCATCCCAGTCGACTCCCTCGTCTCGCCAGCACACCCGCCCTTCTTTCTATCCTCCTCGTTCGAAATTAGCTAGGTAGAGAGAGAAAGAAAGAGAAAGAGGAAGGGAGAGAAAGAGAGAGAAAGTTCTAGCTGCTTTTTTCCTTATTTCGGACGCGCGGCCGCGAGGCAATTTCGGGGCAAAATTCCAAGTCCCAACTGTTGCGCAAACCGCGAAGGCGCAAACGCAGTCTTGGGGGCGTGGCGATCGACGAAGGGCGCGGAAGCGGCCGATAACACGCTGCCGTTTTCTCTCTCTCTCTTTTTCTTTCTCTCTTACTCACTTTACCCTCTCCAACAATTCCGTTTTTCCCCTTGTTCCAACAGAGAAAAAGAGAGAGAG